TCTCATTAGGATCCTGTGTACTATTATAGTTTTTCACACCAAAGAAACTATTCGGTATTTCAGTTAAAGAAATCTCTGTATGAACATTAAAAATAGGGAATCCTAAAATAAAACTAAAAAGGAAAGTAAAAGAGAAAAGGCAATGATGTAACATCAAAATAATCCTTAATTCTGGAGATGAAAATGGTCCCTGAACATATTTAAATTGCTTCTCGCTCTTATAGTCTTAACTTACTCTTTTTTCACTATTTAGAGAATACTTTATTAGTTTCTGTAATCAAACCCACATAGATATGACCTTACATATTTAGTACGATGTGTTACCTCTGTACACATGGAAAAAAAATAAAATAAAATAAATTAACATTTCTAGACCAATATGGTTGTCCATTTCTGTACAATGCCAACTCAACACAGTAAATTGGGATGACTTTTTCCAAAGTTGGCAGCACCGTTAATATTTCCCAAAATTCAATTTATATATATATATAAAAAGACTAATAATAGTATGTTATTCATCGATAGCAGCAACAGCTTTTCCAGGTTCTACAGTCATCTGAACAAAATTATAGATATTCAGCACATTCCATTAAAAAACAAAAAACAAAAAAAAAACCAAAGAAAAGAATAATATCCAGACAACAGCAGAGTTCTGTTGCTGTTGTGGTACCTGGGATCATTTTTTCTATTAGCCTCTTAATCATCATCTGGAAAGAGAACATTCTAGAGTAATACACAGTGATTTATAGATGCCTTTGTAACTGGCTTCTTTCACAAAGTATATAATATTTTCCAGGTCATCCATGTTGAAGCTGATAGCAATACTTAATTTTATTATATATGAATATTCCATTGTATGGCTCTACCGTATTTTCTTTGTCAGTTTATCAGTTGTTGCACTATTTATTTATTAGCTGTTGTGAATGATGATGCTGGGCATTTGTGAGTTTTGTTTTGCTTTGCTGTATGGAGGGTGGAACTCAGCACCTGGCACATGCCAAACACGTGTTCTGCCAAGCTGTACTCTCACCCCTAATATGTACAAGTTTTTGGATGCATACACATTTTCATTTCTCCAAGATATATAACTAAAAGTAGAGTTATTGGTTCATTTCTTAATTAACTTTTAATTTTGGAGGGATTGCCAGGATGTATCCATTGTGGTAATACCATTTTACATGCCTACCAGCAACGAATTAGGGTTGTTTTCTTCCATTGCTTGATCTTCTGATAAATTTGTTGAATCTTCCGGGCATGGTGGTGCACACCTGTAATCCCAGCACTTGGGAGGCTGAGGCAGGAGGATTGCTGCGAGTTCGAGACCAGCCTGGGCTACATAGTGAGTTCCAGGTCAGTCTCAACTACATAGTGAGACCCTGTCTCAAAAAACAAAAACCAAACCAAACCAAAAAAAAAAATTTTTGTTGAATCAGTAGATCAGGAATCAGTGTCCCCATTTTGCAGTAGAGAATCTTCAAAGATAATTAAGTGTATAATTTCTACAAGTTACCGATCTAGGTGATGATTCTTGGGGTTGAGTCATGAAGTATTCATGGAATCTTATGGGACTTTAACATCTGTTTCATCCAAGGCCCACATTCACGGATGGGGCAGCTGAGGTGCAGTCAGAGGCACAAGTTGTCCCCAGCCACAGCTGGCTGATGGCAGAGTTAGGACAAGGTCTACAGTCTGCTGGCTGTAGTCCAGGGAGGTTCCTGCCTCTCAGCTCTGCCTCTTGCTTGGGCCTAGAACTCAGTTCCTCTCGCTGTGGATGCTCATTCAGAATGTAGCCCTGGGCTGGCTCCTTAAAATTCCAAGAGCCCAGCTGGAGAGACAAGGTCTATTTCCATGAAACTACAAACAAAACAAAACAAAAACAAAAAACAAAAAACAAAATTTGAGATGAGAAAACTACAAGAACAGGAAAACGTGTCAACTCAAGCAAAATGATCTTACTCTTTGGTGTCTGTTGATGGTTTGTATTGATCAGCACTTTTCCTTTTAGACATTGACAGCCCCAAAAACCTGGTGACTGACCAGGTGACAGAAAACACTGCCACTGTCTCCTGGGACCCAGTGGAGGCCGACATTGATAGGTATGTGGTGCGCTACACCTCTGCTGATGGAGAGACGAGAGAGATTCCCGTGAAGAAAGAGGAGAGAAGCACCATCCTGACAGGCCTGAGGCCAGGTGTGGAGTACAAGGTGGATGTGTGGGCCCAGAAGGGCACCCAGGATAGCAGGAAGGCCAGCACCAAGGCCCCCACAGGTAATGGATGTTGCTTTTTTGTATGTAACGCCTCTCAGGCTGAGCCTGCCATAAAGCGTGTTACTACACCATCTCTCGATGCCTTCAATGTGAAATAAGTATGTCAGCCTCATTCTTTAGTCTCCTCTGATTAATGGTGATTATCCACATTCACCCAGTGTCTCTCCAAATTTGTATTTCCTTTGTGGTCAGTCTCAAAGTATTTACCTTTAAATGGAAGTGGTGCAAAAGAACCATATTCATGTTGGGGTCTGCAAACTATGATGTACTTTAGGAAAACGTCTTTTACTGTAACCTGTTTGGAACAAAAGCGTTGTTGTTTTCTTAGTGTATTTCACTCTGAGGATCCTATGGTTGCAGAGATATATAGTAACAGTTCATAGTTTTAAGTTTTTCATTTTTCTTTCCTCCTTTGTTAGGGACAGGCTTATCTGTATGCTCTACATATATCTCAATAATCCACCCTTTTAAAGTTTATATCAGCTGCTTTAGTATAATCACAGCAGTGTCCACTTATTACTACTCTCAATTTCAGCACATTTTATCACCATAAGAAACATCCTGTTCAATAGCAGTTGAATACCTCATCCCTGCTCCCTCCAGCTTTAGATAACAGCCACTATCTGTCTCTATAGATTTTCCTGTTCTCGATAATTTAATATATAGAGATTTATAAAATGTATCATCTTTATGACTGCCTTCTTTCAAGAAGTGTAATATTTTCCAGGTTCAATACATGTTGTAACATATCAGTACTTAATTTTATTGTAAATTAATATTCCACTGTATGGATATACCATATTTTATACATCAATTCAGTGTTGGACAGTTGAGTTGTTTCCATTGTTTTGCTATTGTTAGAAATTATGCTGTGAACATTTTTATACCAGTTTGTGTGTGGACATATTTGCTTATGAGTGGAATTGCTAGATCATGTGGTGTTTCGATTATTTTTTTTCCTGATATCAGGAATCAAACTCAGGACCTTGTGCTTGCTTGTTAGGCAAGCACAGCGCTGCTGAGCTGCATACTCGGCCCTCAATCTTTAATCTTTGAGGAAATGCCAGAATGTTTTCCTTCTTGTTATACCATTTTACATGCCTACCAGCCACGAGTGAGGATTATTCTCTTTACTTACTTGGCTCCTAGATAAACTTGTTGAATCAGTAGAGCAGGAATAAGTGACCCCACTTTGCAGTTGAGAATCTTCTGATACAGTAAGGTGCATGATTTCTACAAGTCACACAGTTAGCCGATGATTCATGATGTTGGATCCATGAAACATTCATGGAATATTATGACACCTTAATATTACCTAAGTCTAAGGCCCACATTCGCAGTTGGGAAAACTAAGGTATAGTCAGAGGCAGCTGAGTTCTTTAAGGTCACAGCTAGCAAATAGCAGATCTGGGATAAGATAACTGGTCTGCTTACTACAAACCGGGGGGCTTCTTGTTCCCAAGATCTGCCTCTTGGCCTGAGCCTAGGACTCAGCCTCTCTGACTGTGGGTGTGATGCTCACCTAGGATGTGGTCCTGTCTGTGCTCCCTCTTGGAAGATTCAGGAATCCACTATGGAGAAAAGGTCCATGTCCATGAAATAAATGAGAACTAACATATGAGATGTAAAAACTATCTTTGTTCAAGTTTAATGGTTTCACTATTTGGTACCTCGTGGGGGTTTATATTTATCAGTATGTTTTCTTTTAGACATTGACAGCCCCAAAAACCTGGTGACTAACCAGGTGACAGAGAACACTGCCACTGTCTCCTGGGACCCAGTGGAGGCCGACATTGATAGGTACGTGGTGCGCTACACCTCTGCTGATGGAGAGACCAAGGAATTCCTGCTGGGGAAGGAGCAGAGAAGCACTGTCCTGACAGGCCTGAGGCCGGGTATGGAGTACAAGGTGGATGTGTGGGCCCAGAAGGGGGCGCAAGAGAGCAAAAAGGCCAACACCAAGGCCCCCACAGGTAATGGATACTGTTCTTTGGGAATGTAACACCTGTCAGGCTGAGCCTAAGGGAGGTCAGATTCTGTTTTCCTCCTGTGATGTAGGCAGACATCTATGGCATATGTACCAGCATGATGGTATTCCTTCTTTTTTTGAGACAGGGTCTCACTATGTAGTTGAGACTGACCTGGAGCTCACTACGTAGCTCAGGCTGGTCTCAAACTCACAGTGATCCTCCTGCCTCAGCCTCCCGAGTGCTGGGATTACAGGTGTGTGCCACCACACCTGGCGGTATTCCTTCATTATCAACTACACGCACCACTCCTCACGTCCCTTATGTCTGAGTTCCTTAGTACATCATCAGATCCTCATACATTCTAAACTCCTTTTGGATAGTTGTATTTATCAAAACCTCTTTTAAGTGTTTGGATGCTTTGCTGGAGACAATATTGATGGTCTCTTAGTGAGTTTGTGAGTGGGAACAGAAGCTGAAAAATATTGGTAATGGTGTATTAGTGATTTGATTTTAAAATATAGATTTGACCTCTGTAGAAAGTAGATGTGTGTGATTTGCTTTAGTATGAATTAATCATAATTTACAAAACTTATTTGTGACTACAAATAATGATAGGCTCCATGGATGGTACCCACGTGGTATTAGTATAGGGAATAATGAGGCCGGATGTTCCTTAGACTGTATGGGGTAAGTAGTTATTGACAAAAACACTCAAATAGCAGCAAGAATGACATTTACTCTTCTCTGTAAAATGGCAAAGTATAAGTGGACCAGAGTTCTAAGGATAAGGATAATGTTTGTGTTATATTAACATCTTATTAATATGAAAGAGATGTATAACCATATTTTGTACATCAGTAAACCAGCATGGCAAGTGAATCCATATATGCTGAAGACTATTAAAAAAGGATTCTAGGGCCAGGCTCAGTGGTTCCACCGCCTACCTTACAAGTGCAAGGTCCCAAGTTCGATCCCTGGTACCAAAAAAAAAGAAAGAAGGAAAAAAAGGATTCTGAATTTGGCTGATTTACTTAACAATATACAATACACATGTTTCATATGTCCCATCCTCTTCTGTGTTCTGGGAACACGGACAGTAATGGGATACAACCCTATTCTTCCCAGAGCTAATATTTGGATTTGTTGTAGAATTTTTTCATTTATGGAATGGGAGGTCTTCACTGCCATGAGAATAGATAGAAAATTGTTAGCTCCCTGTAAGTAGAGGTCTTCTTCAACCTTAATCACTGCACCCTTTCTAAAGCATGCCTTGTGTAGAGTGGGGCTCTATATACCTTTTTAAACAAATAAAGAGATTTGTCTTGTTAAAATTTTGGTAGAGGTAATAGCCCAGATCTTCAGATTCTGGTCAGTTGTGCTTTATACTTGGGACAAATATATCTGGGGGAGATGTATGTCCATGGAACAGCTAAAAAAAAGAAAAAGAAGAAAAGAGCATATGAAACGGGAAACCCACAAAACATGAAGGGTCTCATCCTGGCCAACCTGGCTAGCAGTTTCTACATCCCTGGGCCTGCCCAGAGCACGTACTAATTAGTACTTTTCCTCTTAGACATTGACAGCCCCAAAAACCTGGTAACCAACCAGGTGACAGAGAACACTGCCACTGTCTCCTGGGACCCTGTGCAGGCCGACATTGACAGGTATGTGGTGCGCTACACCTCTGCTGATGGAGAGACCAGGGAGATTCCAGTGAAGAAGGATAAGACCAGCACTGTCCTGACTGGCCTGAGGCCCGGGGTTGACTACACCGTCCATGTGTGGGCCCAGAAGGGCACGCGGGAGAGCAAGAAGGCCAACACTGAGGCCCCCACAGGTAATGGATATTGTTCTTTGGGAATGCAACACCTATCATGCTAAATCTCTGGGAGGTCAAGTTTTGTTTTGCTTTTCTTACCTTATCAGGTACCAGCAGGGAAGAGAAGAGTAAGCTGGAATAATTAATGCAGATTGACCCATTGCTGCAGAATGAGGATACAGCTGCTTTTGGGATCTGTGAACTTAGGGACTGTGGACTGCTTTAGGAGAGTGTCTTAGTCCACTTTATTCTATAACTGAATACCACAGATTATATAATGATAAATAGCACAAGTTTATCTAGCTCACAGCTCTGTAGGCTGAGAAGTTCAAGGGCACAGTGCTGGCTTCTGGTGAGGCCCTTCATGCTGCTCATAATATGGCAGAAGGGCCAGTGAAGATGCCTGACACAGAGAGACAGGGCAGTAGGGTACTGCAGTTAAATCTACTCCCATGTTAAGTAGCCCCCTCTCATGATAATGGCATCAATGCATCCATGAGGCCAGAGTCCTCATGTCACAGGATCTCACAAAGAGTCTACTTCTGATTACTGTTCTGGCCGCAATTAAATTTATCATGGATTTTGGAGTCAGACACTCAAATCATAGCTAAGAGTTCACTGTTAAAAAAAAAAAAGCAACCTTTCTTTTACCTAAAAAAACAAAAGAACAAAGCATAGTTCTAGACCTTCTGAGTGGCCCTACTCATGTTTTGAAACTCTTTCTTAACTTTTTGCCTCTTGGCAATAGAAAATTATACTGAAAAATGTGAAACCCATATAAAATTCCTAAAACTACAAAATGAAAGAACTGTTTTGTGGTAGGTTATTTTATGTGGGCTTGACTTAATAGATACTGTGTGGTATAAAGTTTCAGCTATTAACCCGTGAAGCTGGAGCCCTGTGTTCATCATGCTGCTAACTTTTAATAAACATCTGCTAAGTACCAGGCCTGGGGATCCAGTGGTAAACAAAACAAATGTGCTCTGTAGTCCCTTGGAGTCGAGTGGGAGAGATGCAAGAAAACAAATTTATAACAATTCTAATAAGTTGTATGAAAGAGATAACAACAGTGGTACAGATATAGAGAATAACAGGTAAGGATGGCTCTTAAATAGCGGCATGAATAGTAATAGGTTGCACATTGAAAGAGACACCCAAATGAGAGCTGTTTAAACAAGAAAGGAATTTATTAATCCCTGTAGAATGGTAGAGGATAAGCCAGAGTTGACAGGGTAGCTCCTGTACAAGAGACCCAGCCTCCTTCTTTTTTTAATTTTTGCTCACTCATCCCTAGGGAGTTGTCTTCATTTGCATGGTAACACCCACCTGCATTCTAGCTAGTGGGCAGGGACATGGGAACGGGCAGGGCATGACTGGAATATCGCACACATCCTCTCTTCTCACACTTCACCATCTGATCTAAGACATAATGCCAGACTTCATTACAAAGGGGTTGGAAATGAGATCTTCAGTCATTTGGCCATGAGCCCAGGTTCAACTCTGTTTCGCTGTCATATGAGGTTAAATAGCCGCATGTAACTAATATGACTCTTTAAGTTTTAATTAATTAAAATAATTAAAATAAAAATTATTTCTTCAGTTGGATTAGCCACATTTTACATGGTCAGTAGCCACATGTGACTAATGGCTACCTTGTTGGACAGTGTAGATTATGTGATACTTGTGGCATTGCTGATAGATCTGCTAGACTGTGCTTGTAGAAGAAGGGAAGGAGGGATACTGGTGAAGTTAACTATTTCTGGGAAAAGCTAAGAGCACATGTGATCATCCTAAGCTGTAACAGATGTGAAATAGTTGAGGAACTGCAAAAAGGCTGGTATCATTGGAGCATAGAAGATGAGGGAGCAAGTATCTTGAAATGAGGCAGGAAGGACCAAGGTTAGGTCATATAGAAACACATCATGCCTAAAAGAGGAAGTGTGCTATACTTACTAGAAGCATGACACGGTACAGTCGTCATTTAAAACTCTTTTTCAGGTCAGAGTGAGGAGAATGAATGAAAGTGACAAAAGTAGAAGTGGGAAAATTAGTAAAGGAGCTATTATAAAAATCTTGTTGAGAGACGGTGATGACTTGAGCAAGTGTGATGGTGGTAGGGATAGAGAAAAGAAGATGTCTTGGGAATGTACTTTAGAGGGATAAATGTTGACCCATGAGATATGTGTACAAAGAAAATGGGGAACCAAGTATGATGTGAACAACATGGAAGATTATGCAATCATTTTTTGTGAAGGGAGGCTGTTGGGGGGATGTCAAGACACTTATATATTTAAGTTTGAGGGAGTTATTAGATTCCTTGGTTAATTGATTTATTTATTAATTCCACAGACACTTAATGAGTGTCTGATACAGGCCGGACACTGTGATGCAATAGTAGATACAAGCCTGGAGCTCAGAACTGATAACGCTTTTGGAATAATGAGTATCTAAAATTTCAAACTGTAGACATGGGGGAGATTGCCTGGGGAGAGATGAATAGAAACAGGAGAAGAGGGAGCTTTGGGTGCACTGCTATTTGGAAGTTGCTAAGGAGGAGAAGGCAGAGGAGACAGTGAAATAGGAAGGCAATCAGGGTAGTGTGTAGACATGGAAATCGAGAGTTGAGAATGTTCCAAGAAGAAGATAGTGCATTAACTCTGCTAAATACCACTCAAATTTGAATGAAGTATGCATGCCAGGTGTCCTCTAGAAAGATGTCCACCTAGAACGTTGGTGACCTACAGTAACAGAGTTAGGGGTGGTATAGAATCTTGACTGAGTTGAGGAGTGAACGGGAGGTGAGTGAGATTGAGCTGTGCAGACCCTTCTCTCGAGTTTGTCGGTTCTGAGGTGTAGAGAAATGAAACAACGTAGGGAGGGACGGGATTTTACATTGGTTTGTCTGGAACTGATGGCGTAGAAAAGACTGATGGTGCAGGAGTGAGGGGGCACAAGGAAAGGTGCAAAGTCCTTGAGAAGGTGAGAGGCTCAACATTCAGAACATAAAGGTTCTAGGCTTGGTTTGAACACAAGAAAACAAGAAGAATTTGGGCTTCCATTCTCCTGTGCTTTTATAAGTCAAGTGGAAGAGAAGCTGTTGCTTTGCTCTCAAATTCATTTAAACAAAACAACTACCAGTAGATACCATAGAGATTACAACAGATTGTTTCAACAAGAGTTGTTGCTAAGGTTTTTATGGTAATTTGGAGGAGAACTACAGGAGCAAAAAATTTCCGTATTGGTAAACTGAGAGAAGATATGATTCCTTCCAGTCTTAATATCCAGTGCTTGCTTCCCTGGAAAATGGAACCTGAGGGCCTCTTACCCCTGTTTTAAATTATGATTTTGCTTTAAACCATGATTATTGATAACCAGAGTGAAGAGCTCCCTTGGTTCTAAATTCAGCCTTTTTTCTCTGTTTTAAAAAAGAAATTGACAGCCCCAAAAACCTGGTGACCAATCGGGTGACAGAAACTACAGCCACCATTTCCTGGGACCCAGTGAGAGCCACCATTGACAAGTACATGGTGCGCTACACGTCTGCAGATGGAGAGACAAAGGAGATTCCAGTGGCAAAGGAGCAGAGCAGCACCATCCTGAAGGGCCTGAAGCCTGGTGTGGCATACACGGTTCAAGTGTGGGCTGTGAAAGGGGCTCGGGAGAGCAAGAAGGTCAACACCAAGGCCCTGACAGGTACAGTGGGGAGCAGTCCAGGGGAACCCTTCGCACTCTTCAAGAGTGAATCCTCTTCTGTGACTGGGCCAGGGAGTGGAACAGGAAGGGTTGTTGACTCATCTGAAGACAGTTCTCAAGGTGTTTGTTACTTACGTTTCAAGGAGATGGTTTGGCATAACTGTTCAGATAAGATGGCAGTGTAGGGCATTGGTGCAGTGGTTGTGTACAAGGTGACTTCCCTCAGCCGCATCCACCTAGCCCAGATGTCAAGCCCAGAATGTGGTTGGGCCTCGGGTCTAGTTGAGAGAAGACGGAGGCGGGAATTTCTGTTTCCCTCTTCCAGGGTGGGGCCCAAGGTGGAGCATTCTCCTCTGTGTGGCTTCTAGAGGGTGGTCGGAGATGCCTGGGCTGTGTCTATTTTGGTGTGTGATGTGGCCTCCAGCCTTGGCTTGACATCATGGAATCAGGCTTAGAGGGCCCTGGAAGGTCTGTGGGGCCCTTCAAAGAATCTGTTCATCCCCTCCAAGGCCAAGTGCACCAACGGGTGATGCTGCATTTAGGAGTACCTTAAATTTCATCATAATTTTGTTGGTTAAAATTATCCATCATTTAAATCTCAAAATTTAGTACGTTATAGCAGAAAGTTTCAAACTAAAAAAAGATGTGTGAAAAAAATCTCATTTTCTCACCCCAGATACTCAGTACCCTGTGTAGTTCTCCAACATCAATAGTAACCAGTGTTTCCCTCCATCCATCCTCCTACCTTTCTTTTGCTGCCTTTTCTTTGTTCCTTTTATTATCTCTTCTTTCTTTATCGTTCTTTGCTTCACTTTCCCCATTTTAAAGACAGTAATGAAATTGCCTTATTTCTACTCCATAGAAATGTGAATGTAACCAAGACAGACATCTCAAGTCCATGGCCAGGGGAATGGCTGGGCAGTCAAAGAGATGGCAGACATGAATTTAAAACTACTTAAACAGTTACAATTTTGCATTCATTTTGAAAGAAAATCTGGTTTTTCTGTGTGATAGAATAAGATCCATGCCAGATGTTGTGCTTTAGAAAATCAAACCAAGCTGATATAATAGAAATTTAAGATTTGTCAAAACAACCTAATTCAAAGCAACAGCTGTCTGATTTCTATTAAAATATTGCAATTCAGTTCTCAGCTGAAATGCTGCTGGGTAGAAAATAGCCTGGAGACATCTTTTTGGGAGCTTCTAAATTAAAATTGCCTTCTATGATGTTTCTTCAAAATGGAAATTTCCATTCATATCTTATTTAGTTAAAAAAATGAGCTGTCTGACCAGTTATAGTGGTGACTTGTTTTTGCTGAGCTTTAGTTTTCCTGGTCTGCCGTGTGTACTCAGTGTTTGAGTGGAGAAATACATACAGGAAAAGCTCCCTGCTTTTTCTGCCCACCTTCTTTCTTTGTTAAAAATACCCTCCTGTCTGCCTTTTTGTTTGCACTAGATATGCATCTAAGGCCACATACTTGGATATTTAAAAAACACAACTTTGTATTTCTGTGCTAACTTCCATTATAAGCCCCATTCTGTTTGATGATCAGAAATCTAAGGACATTAAGAGTCATGCCCTTCCTCAGTGCTGTGTAAAGACTCAAGAGTTTCCCAGTGCCAGGCATTTAGTCATTTCTCCGGGCAGATGTTTGCTGAGTCAGCCCTGGTGTCTGTGAGCAGGACCCTTGAGCAGGGTTGTCTCATCTTCCCATGTTACTTTGGAAGCCCTACCTTCTTGGAGAACCCATCTTTGAGTCTGGACTGCACAGAGCAAATAATTCCCGGGATATTCTGCTGGGAAGTGGGTCAGCCTCTCCCTGTCAGCCTGTGCAGTGTCCTAGTCCTCAGTGGATCTTTATTTTTGGAAATAAAGGTCAGGAGGGTCAGGAAAGCACTATTGCAAGGAAGAACAGACTCACTAAATGTTTGGAGGGAAGAAGAGAAATGGGAATATGAATGAAGAAAGTATAAATTAATAGTTTAAGAATTACCTTGTCTGGTTGTATTTTAGTAATAATAGTTGCCTAATTTTTTTATTTATAGAAATCGATCCTCCCAAAAACTTTCGTCCATTCGGTGTAACACATTCTGGTGGGGCACTGACCTGGATGCCCCCCTCTGCTCAGATTGATGGGTACATTCTGACCTACCAGTTCCCCAATGGCACCGTGAAGGTACTGATCTTTCTTTTCTCTTGTTGCCTTCTCTGTGCAGCCTCTCTGTGAAGCGACTGCCGTGGGCAAGTAGGCTTGATTGCTGGCCAGATGGTAACCTGCTGATCAGTCAGTTGATCCTTATTGGTCACCTGCTATGTGCAAGGGGACGGTGCTAAGCAGAGTCGTTTGTGAATAATGTGGTCTCATTAAGGACTGATCTTTCTGTCTGCTCCTACTGACCACTGTATATTTGCTGGCCACATATCTGCCCTTTTAAAAAATATTATTATGGTTGGTCTTCCCTAATACAAGCTCCATGAGCAGGGAATTTTTGTCTGTTTTGTTTATTGTTGTATCTCAAGTTCTTAGGATTGTGGTTAATACATGGTAGGTGCTTATTTTAACAGTATACCTCCCCCATGAATCTGAAGGCAGCAAATATGTAAAACTTGCCCAGGTGGAAGGTTGTCATTCTTTCCCCTTGGTAAGGAAGAAGGAAGAGGGAGGAAAAAAGGAAGGGCACTTTCACTTATTTGTGATTTCATTTAATGCTTCTGACAGTCTGACTTATGAGGAAGTAAGACAGATTAAGAAGGATGTATTGAAATACTATTTCTGTGTCTCACAGATATCAGTGGCTGTTTCAAGCCCTCTTTCAGCATTTCTTTAGCCCAGCATTGCCTCCTCACTGCTTCTAGCGGTGGCTATAGTCAGTGCACATTATGTATCTGAAGGTGGATGCCCTGGAAAGAATAGCCTGTGCTTCCTAAGTGGCAGGACGTGGTGTGACATTTCAACCAGTGCTCCTACTGGGATTGAATCTCCATGGCACAGCCCTCCAGAGAAGTGTCTGGGACCCATGGGGTTTCTGGGCTGCCTCCAGGCTCTTGGAGAGCAACTATTGGTAACCCCAGGGTATGCTCTTGATCCCTAGGAGGTACGACGGGAAAGAGGTGAACAGAGGTTCGAGTTGCAAGGCCTTGAGCAGGGCATCACCTACCCTGCCTCCTTGGTTGCTTTTAAGGGTGATCACCGGAGCAGGAGTGTGTCCACATCCCTCTCAACAGGTAACGCAGAATCCTGCCATAGGAGTTGCTAGTGCAATAGCAGCTGAGCAGGGGCGAGGCCAAGGGGCAGCAAGTGCTTATAGACCTATGGGTCTCTCCTCTGGGAAATGAAAATGGAGTTATGGATTCAAAAGAAATCGACTCACAGTGAGAGGCTACAGAAGGAAGCGAAACAGAGCATTGCTTTGTGGGGGAAATGGTTTGGGCAAAAAAGGGATATGAATTTGACTTTGGTACTGTTGCATTTGCAGAGTTTGAGACCAGAGTGAGGGAGAAAAAAAGATGTGAGAGAAGATTTGGAAGAACAAAGATAACGGGGGTTATGAAACAATTTCCAAGCAAAATAAATAGCCTTAAAAAAGTAGAGGCCTTAGTGAAAGAATTCTTTTCTTCCTTGACTTTCTTCTAACAATACTGCCTTTCTATCTGGCTCCCAGTTGATGCCCGTTTTCCACACCCCTCGGACTGCAGTCAGGTTCAGCAGAACAGCGACGCTGCCAGCGGCCTCTACACCATCTACCTGAATGGTGATGTCAGCCGGCCCCTCAAGGTTTACTGCGACATGGACACGGACGGAGGCGGCTGGATTGTGAGTCCTGCAGAGCCCTGGGAGTTCCATGGAGCACTTGTTTCTCTGCCCACAGAGCTGGTCACAGCTGCCCCGTGGAACATTTGGGGGGGTCTACTTCTTTAGCCATAGGAGGGAGGATCTTTGGTGACTTGCAGCTGTTTTGAGAGAGTGTAAGGTTAGAGCCTAATACTAAACATCTGTCATAGAACAGGCTTGGTTAAACAGGGCTGAAAATTATGCAGGCTTGTGGGTTTGTAATCAGTAATACCCTAAATTATTACCCAAACCATTACCTAAATTTTATCTACTTTCAAGCACTTTGAAAAACATAGCTTTAGAGTAAATGAGAAAGGATTCTTATTCCTATTTTACAGATAGAGAAAGTGAGGCCAACAGAGAAAAGCACCTTGTCTACTTCATACAAGTGAACGGCGAAGATAGGTCTAGATTTTAGGCCTCCAGCCTCCTAACTCATTGGTTTTCCCAGTGTGTCATCCAGGACAAATATGCACAGCCTCTTTGGGGTCTTGGTTCTCTGAATTGGAGCCTGTTGTCCAGGCACTGTGCCTTGGTTCCAACAGGACAGAAACAAGGCCTTTTGGGCTTTGATTTAAAAGACTAGGACCTGGAAAAGGGAAGCATGGGCAGTGTCCTAATGGCTCCTGTTCTCTTTGGTGCTTTTATTCGCTTGGGTCATTGTCTGCTTAAACCACATGGCATCTCTTTGATTGCGTTATGATCCAATTATATGATGAGCTCCCTTTGCAGTTTGTAGTCCCATCCTTCCATCTCCCACACCCCACTTCTCTCTGTGCCCAAACGGATAGAAGCTCTCGATACCCCAAACCAGCATGCAGCCTTCACCTGCTGTGTACATTCACCTCATTGTGGGAGAGAGAAAGTATGTATCGTGGTACTCAGAGCTGTATCCATTTACACCTTCGCTCAGGAGTCTGGGAAACCAAAGACACTTGAGCAGCCATGGGCAAAATGATACCATCTGATGAGCAGCAATGAAGAAGAGTTATTATCTGCACATTTATTGAGATGTTTGGCATCTGACAGCTGAAAGGCAGTGACTGGATTGGACGGGGAAATTCCTGATTGATTTGTAAAATAACTGAACAGAATGGAATGTCCAGCTGACCAGGCCCATAGGGTTGTACCTGCTGCTTTTCATCAGCACCATTGTAGCTCTAAGCATTTAGTCCCCTCAGGCCTGAAGCCCAATTTCCTGCCATTGTGCCTGTAATTGGCCATTGGCAGGATGTTTGTACTGTCTAGTGTGACCTTTCTGAAAGCCAATCTTACATAGGGAAAGAGATGTTTGTCTAGCATAGCCTTTAGGAAAGAGATCTGTTGGTCTGTCTGCCTGGGAAGTCCATGAATTAATGCACTAATATTTATTGAGCTCCAACTGTGCATCGGGTCCTGTTTTCTGAATTTAAAATCTAGCAGTGAAAGAATCAGACTAAAATCTCTGCACTTAAGGAGCCTGCACTCTCTATCCTGCCCATGAAAATGACCTTGGCTCCATACAGTCAATTCCAGAAATAAGCCACTCTGCGATTAACCAACTCCAGTTCCCCACCCCACCCCACCCCAAATCTTGTTTTGTGACCTAGCTTCCTAGAAATAATCCATGAGACTCTACAGGATCGTCTAAGTTCCAGAAATCACATGGAGTCTTGAAAACTTCAAAACCACATATTTTACTGGCAGTTTTCTTTTCTTTTTTTTGGCGGGGGAGCATTTTTTGTCACTGAATGACGACGTATAGTACCCTGCTTCTTTTGAACTTTTAAAATCCTTTTAAGGAAATTCTCCACACCAGGCAGCAGGAATCCTGATTGGTGAACTGGCCAGACAAGCTCTGCCCTGAGGTAAAAGAGGCTGCTGGTGGGAAGCTGGAAAGAACATCAGGGAACACTTAAATGTCTCAGATATTTCCAGCTTTGTTTTCCATCTTGGAAGTCTTAAAGATTGCCCTTAGAAGCTCTTTCCACAGGCTTTTAAATGAAATTTTTATTTTTTCTTCCTGATTGAGTCATTCAGAACATTAAGTTCTTGAATGTAATGACAACTCTGGAGTATAGGACCAAATGCAAGGAATTTTTTTCCCCATTTGAGATTTATTTGCTAAAGAGCTTTTGTTACTCCCGAATACAGAAGTTTATTATAGTGCTTTCACTCAAGATGGGAATGAACTAGATTCTGAGAGAAGGCTGCCTGATCACAATGTAAAAATGATCCCTATGGGCTGGCTCATTTGAATTTGATATAATCGATTGCAAAGTTATATTTATTGAGATGTAATAATAACTTACCTATTTGTGCTGGACTCTGGACTAAGTATTTCATGATTTATTATGATTAATGATCTTGCTGAAACCTCAGTTTAAGCCCAGGAGAGCAGTTATCATCTTGATCTGTTAATTTTAAAAAGTAAAGCTTCTCAAGGTTAACCAACTGGCCCAAGGACACAGCTAGAAGCATGGATTTGGTCTAAGCAATGAGGGAAGAGCACCAGAATCTGCTCGCCTGGCCACGCTGTGTATTATTTAAAAAAAAAAAAAAAAAAAAAAAAAAAGGCTG